AACCCAGGAGGCGGAGGTTGCGGTGAGCCGAGATCGCGCCATTGCACTCCAGCCTGGGTAACAAGAGCGAAACTCTGTCTCAAAAAAAAAAAATACCTGCCAGCTACCCTAAATAGGAAATGAATCTAAATACATTAATAAATACAAAGCAAGTCTATGGCCGTTAAGTGGGAGTAATCTCAACCTTTGGAAAGGAAGGCTAAAAAGTAGCATCTGACTTCAAAGAAGACTTATCATTGTTAGGTTCAAGCCAGAGGGCAAAGAAGGGAAATGCAGGACACTGGAGGGGGTATGGGCAAGGGAGGGTGTCTAAGAGCCTCAGAGAAGGGAGATTGGAGCAGGAGGAAGAATGGAGATAGGGATCTTGTGTGTGGGAAAACACACAAACTCAAGAGTGTTTGTTCCTGTTATCTCACTCAACAGCAACAATCAACACAGAGAGAAGACTTCTGTGACCAAATATGGAGGATTTCTCCCTACTAGCAAACAGACAATCAGTCCTCTAATTTGATTCTGACACCATCTACCGGTAGGCCACAGCCTGAGGGCTCAAGCCCCAAAACTGCCTCCGCCTACCCTGTTCAGACACCAGTCAAAACCCAAGCCTAGGCTGGCAGTGGTGGCTCCCGCCTGTAATCCCAGCACTTTGGGAGGCTGAAGTGGGAGGATCACCTGAGGTCAGGAGTTCGAGACCAGCCTCTCCAACATGATAAAACTCCATCTCTACTAAAAATACAAAAATTAGCTGGGCGTGGTAGTGGGCACCTGTAATCCCAGCTATTCGGGAGGCTGAGACAGGAAAACCACTTGAACTTGGGAGGTACAGGTTGCAGCGAGCCAAGATCTTGCCATTGCACTCTAGCCTGGGGAACAAGAATGAAACTCTGTCTCAAAAAACAAACAAACAAACAAAAAAACCCCAAGCCTCCAGAACTTATGGCCAACCAGCTTCAAGTTGGGGATCCTACACCCGCTCTTTGGGTTTAGTTCATTTGACAGCGGCTCACAGAGCTCAGGGAGACACTTAGGTTTACCAGTTTATTAGAAAGGATATGACAAAGGATATGAATGGAGGGATGGACAGGCCAAGGTGTCAGGGGAGGGGTGCAGCGCTTCCATGTCCTTTCGAGTCAAGCCAGCCTCCAGGAACTACCACGCGTTCAGCTCCCAACCTTGTCGTCTTGGGCCTTTTATGGAGACTTCATTGAATAGATGTGATTAAAGCATGGACAACCGTGTCATATCATGATTGAACACACACACACTCTCTCTCTCTCTCTCTAACGGACTGATTGGGGAAACCCAGCAAGGCATGTCTGTTTAGATTCTTCTTGGTCTTTCTATGCAGCATTTCTTCCTCCAGGCTGCAGGGCATCTCTGGAATCAGGGTTATGACTCACAATCAGATTAGAGTCTTGCATCTGGCAGGTACAATGAGAACAGGAAGGCCCAGTGTGGTGGCTCATGCCTACAATTCCAGCACTTTAGAAGGCCAAAGCAGGTGGACTGCTTGAGCCCATGAGTTTAAGACCAGCCTGGGCAACACAGGGAGACTGCCTCTACAAAAAATAAAAAATTGGCTGGGCATGGTGGCTCATGCCTGTAATCCAAGCACTTCGGAGGCCAAGGCGGGTGGATCGCCTGAGGTTGGGAGTTCAAGACCAGCCTAACCAATATGGTGAAACCCTGTCTTAAAAAAATAAATAAATAAAATAAGCCGGGCACGGTGGCTCAAGCCTGTAATCCCAGCTCTTTGGGAGGCTGAGGCGGGTGGATCACGAGGTCAAGAGATCGAAACCATCCTGGTCAACATGGTGAAACCCTGTCTCTACTAAAAATACAAAAAATTACCTGGGCTTGGTGGCGCGTGCCTGTTATCCCAGCTACTCAGGAGGCTGAGGCAGGAGAATTGCCTGAACCCAGGAGGCGGAGGTTGCGGTGAGCCGAGATCGCGCCATTGCACTCCAGCCTGGGTAACAAGAGCGAAACTCCGTCTCAAAAAAAAAATAAATAAATAAAATAAAAAATTAGCCGGGCATGGTGGTGCACACCTGTAATTCCAGCTACTCGGGAGCCTGAGGTGGGAGGATAGCTTGAGTACAGGAGTTCAAGGCTCAAGTGGGGGTGATTACACCACTGCACTTCAACCTGGGCAACAGAGTGAGACCCTGTGTCAAGAAATCAATCAATCAATACCTGAGAGCAGGAGCAAGACAGATGGCGAGGAAGTCTGTGTCCTGAGGTCTGCCTCTGAATCCTAAAGTGCCCTAACATTATAACAAAAGACTGTAACAGGGGCACTGAGAGATATGAGCTCTCAGTGAGAGGAGCTGCGGCCACATAGACCTCACAGATCTAGACTCAACTGT